TCAAACCATGGAACCCTAAACCTAACTTATAAACCATGGAACCTAACTCCAAACTACGATAACCTAATCCATAGAACCATGACCTTAGTAAAAAATCTAAATTCTGTTAACCTAAATGCAACATAAAAAATCAAAGCACAAGACCAAAATTTAGAAACAGAAACCACAAAAATCGTTACAATTTTAAATGATATTCAAATTTGTTTGATGTATATTGTATAACGCTTGAATAAAACCTTGAATTGAAAACTATACCGACATATTGCAAGGAAACGATAAAAAGAGAATTCCTAGAACTGTTCTCTGTAAATTATGTTTATATAATAAAACACCTTGTAAGCAGGGGGCTGGGAGGGGGAGGAGTCCAAAANGGAGGGGGGGGTATAAAGTGTTAGTTTCTGAAAACCCGTCTAAAAAAGTAGGTCAACCCTTTCCATTATGCTTTAAAAGTCAATGCTTATCACTTCATTAATTTTTATGCCTTAATTTCACGGGACATCAAACAATAATGTAGTCTTCATCAAACTGTCCTTTCTTCACTTTTTAGCTTTTATGAGAATAAATAGTTTACAAGGAAACAAAATTATCAAAAAATATAAATATTTAATAATTTTAAATAAAGCCGATTAGTCTATTAGGTAATTGGTTTGGATTGTGGGTTATCAATTAAAATAAATTATGGATTTTTCCTCAAGCACAGAAATAAAGGAAAATGTCAGCATTTAAATCATTTAAACAAGAAAATAAAGTTTGCAGTTCTATCAAGTCAGAAACTGCCGAACCGAATGTGTTTATTGTTAGTCAAGTAAAATCATTGAAACAGCCAAACCAATTGGTTTGAGTAGAATGGCTGGTTAAATCTTAGAACATGGATATATGTAATAGTAGGATAACTACAATTCTGTTGTGGATAATAGGATAGTAGGATAGTAGAATTGTAGAATAGTAAGATAGTGCGATAGTAGGATAGTAGGATAGTATTGATAGTGGGATAGAAGGATAAGTATGATGGTATAGGATAGAAGGATATTTATAGGATAGTAGGCTAGAAGGTCAGTTTTATAGTAGGAAAGTGGCATAGTATCGCAGGATAGTAGAATATTGGAATAGTAGGAAAGTAGATTAGAGGATAGTAGGAAAGTAGAATAATAGGATAGTAGGATAGTAGGATAGTAGGATAGTATGATAGTAGGATTGTAGGACTGTAGGATAGTAGGATAGAAGGATTGTAGGATAGTAGTATAGTAGGATAGTAGGATAGTAGTATAGTAGGTCAGTATTAATAAAAAAGTAGCATAGTCTCGCAGAATAGTAGGATTGTAGGATAGTAGGATAGTAAGATTGTAGGATAGTAGGATTGTAGGATAGTAGGATAGTGGGATAGTGGGATAGTAGGATTGTAGGATAGAAGGATTGTAGGATAGTAGGATAGTAGGATAGTAGGATAGTAGGATAGCAGGATTGTAGGATAGTAGGATTGTAGGATAGTAGGATAGTAGGAAAGTAGGTTACTAAGAAAGTAGGACAGTAGGATACTAGGATAGGTAAGAAAGTAGGACAATAGGATAGTAGGATATTAGGATATTGGGAGAGTAGGTTACTAATAAAGTAGGACAGTAGGATAGCAGGATAATAGGACAGTAGTATGTTAAGTTGGATAAGTGGGATAGGTAGGTTGTAAAGTTGAACTAAACACATGTTGTTAAGTTGTTGGTAGATTACTGGATATCCATAAATATCCGGGCACACGATAATTCTAGTCTTTCCCCTCATTTTCACCAGAAAAATACTTAAATTTTACCCGCATTTTGCTCGTAAATTCGAGACCCATTTAATTTCCTAAAACTGTCCTAAAAATGACCACTTTCCTCGGCTATAAATTCATCTAGAAAACAAGCTGTAAGATTCTTTAATAGAAGGTGGTCTTTATCAAAGTGAATTTCTTTAGAGCTACAGGGTTTATCAAAAAGTGGCTCCTTTATCTAGAAAATTAAATAAATTGAACAGAAACTAAAAATGTCAACTTGAGCGTCTTTATTCATTTAAAATTTGAACATTTGGTCGCAAGATTTCATGTTCTTTAATTTTAAAACCCGAGAAAAAGTATTCAGATTATAGTCGTAGATTTTGTCATAGTAGTAATCTTAGAAAATAATTTTTTTTAAAATCTTTTTTGGTTTAGCGGGTTCAAAACTAACAAATTATTGTTCATTTTTTTAAATATGTCATGCTTTGTAATTGATTGAAATATTAAAAATATTTGAAATAAGAACCTAAAAAAGGACAATGTCTCATTGAAAGAAACAAATTTCTCGCAACCAAACAAAATTTATTTCTCCATTTGATGTGATCATGAAAAGCTTAGTGTCATAGACCATTGATATTTAAACTATGAACTTTGTTACCTCATTTGGTCAAAGATTAAAATATAAATAGTTTACACTATCAGGTTGCAAAGCTACATGTATTTCAAAATTAGAGTCAGTATTGAGTAATTATTTTCTTTATTAGAGGCTTTAATTTTTTCTTTAACCAATATATGCTCAACAGCAGGAGAAAGAGGAGAAGGAGGAGAAGGAGGAGATGGAGGAGAAGGAGGATATGGAGGAGAAGGAGGAGAAGGAGGAGAAGGAGGAGAAGGAGAAGAAGGAGGATAAGGAGGAGAAGGAGGAGAAGTAGGAGATGGAGGAAATGGAGAAGAAGGAGAAGGAGGAGAAGGAGAAGAAGGAGAAGAAGGAGAAGAAGACAAACAGTTCATGATTTTATTCAGACAAACAGTTCATGATTTTATACAGACAAACAGTTCATGATTTTATATAGACAAACAGTTCATGATTTTATACAGACAAACAGTTCATGATTTTATACAAACAAACAGTTCATGATTTTATACAGACAAAGAGTTCATGATTTTATACAGACAAAGAGTTCATGATTTTATACAGACAAACAGTTCATGATTTTATACATACAAACAGTTCATGATTTTATATTGACACTACTCCTGAAAACCTGAACAGACAGACTCCGTAACAGACAACACCTTAGTAGACATACACCTTAACAGACAGACACCTAAACAAACAGCACTTGAACCGACCAATTTAAAGACACAAACAGACACACACCTAGAAGACGAACACGAACCGAACAAACAGAATACTCGTAACTATTCTTTAAAGTATGAATGGTGTGTAAAAGTACTAGATCATGACATTTAAAACCTAACATAGTAATCAGAGAACGGGAATACAACAAAAAAAATATTAAGTTGAAATAATATTCGAAATGAGAAAGTAAAATATGCTAAAAAAATAAGCCTGTTTTGTTTGCTTCAAAATAGAAATTTTTAGATATTTTATTCTTTTCATGTGTTTTCCCTGCTTATTTCTATTTTCTCTAATGAGTATGTATTGGTGTCAGGAAACTTTGGGTTTTAATTACCCATCTTTACACGATATTGCATAATGTATGTATTTAGTACAGTAGGAAGCATAATAGTGTGGACTGTAATGACGACTCGCACACTTAAGTTATCTTCTATTTAATAAAACATGACATTCGTATATATATGTTGCGTATAGCCGACCAAACGGCTGGACCGATTGGACTAACATTTTTTGTGGACACTCATGAATGGTCAGGGAGGTTTTGGCAAAAAAAATTAAAATATTTTTTTTTCAAATATTTAAAAAATATTTTTTTCATTTTTAAAAAAAATATTATTTTTTAAAATTTATTTTTCCACGGGCATTTCTGGGCTATTCAGCTAGTGTGCAATAAACATAAACACACTTATTATCTATCTAATATGTAAATATATAACTAATTATTTCAATTACTTGGCAAATTTTCTAAATACTAACCTAAACAAATCCTAATTACTCCAGAACACCTACAAAAGTGCATTTGGAATGTATCATGCAAAACGCAGAGCTGATGATGGCGCCTTTACTGTCCCATTTCAAAATTATAAAGTGTCAAAAATTCTGTAGAGCCATAGAAATATGTGTTGAGCTTTGGAGTTAAATATAACATAATTGCCTGGATCCATTGAACATCAAAATAAAAAAATATGTAAAAATATGATTATAAATATGTTGTTTTTAAGCGTTAAAAAATCTATAAAAACTTTTTAAATAATCTGATTTTACAATAATGAAAAGAACACATATTAAAATGATTGATAATTATTTCAACAAATCCTTTTGTCAGACACAATATGAAGTCTTTTTAATTTACTTAATAAAACGTAATATTTGGTCTGAAATCATTGGAGCGAGATTGAAAGCAATATCTTCGACATGCAATCTAGAATTATAAATCTAGAATTATAAATCTAGAATTATAAATATCTGACTCTCCTTCAACACAAAAAAAGGTAATTTCCTAGAGAACACTTTTCGGACAACCCCCCCCCCCTCCTATTAATTGTGTGCGTGCATCTCATAACAAAAAGGCATAATTTGATTTATAGCCGCAACTCTCGGCCACCTAAGCTTGTCCTTCCTACGTTTTTCATTCCTTGGTTCCAGTAGCAACTACAAAGATTCTTCCTGATATTTATATTTCTTGGTTCCTGTTGTGTAACTACATAGATCCTTCCTGATATTTATATCCCTTGGTTCATGTAGTTCAAGTACACAGATCCTTCCTATTTTTTAATATTTATATTCCTTGGTTCCAGACTCCAGTAGCAACTACAAAGATCCTTCCTGATTTTTATATTTCTTGGATCCTGTAGTATAGCTACATAGATCCTTCCTCAGTAGCAACTACACAGATCCTTCATGATATTATTATTCCTTGGTTCCAGTAGCAACTACACAGATCCTTCCTGATATTAATTTTTCTTGGTTCCAGTAGCAACTACAGCGGCTGCCTGGTATGAATGGCGGCCATAATGTACCAGAAATCTGCTGGGGGCAGTTCCCACCCAATCCCCGCCCCTAGACCCAGGCCAACCCCCCACCAGGGCAACAGAGTGAACAGTCGAGCTTTGGAGCTCGAGGAGAGAACATTCACGCGCGCAAACAGAGAGATAGAGAGCAGCGCGCAGTTAGCGCACCGTGACCGGGATGAATAATTTATAATTCTGTTGAATTAAACCAAAAATGGGGAGCCCTGATATTTCTTGGAGGAATGATTTAAGCTACAGGTATATAGATACATTGATACAGTATTTACCAAAAATAGTTGAGATGAGGTTGAACGTTTGTGTGAAGTATAGAAAATCTTGAACTCATGAATTTGACATCCACACTTTAATAGATTTAAGGATTTATGACTGATCCTGCAATGATCAATGCTTGATCCCTTAATGATGAATGCTTGAGCCCTTAATGATCAATGCTTGATCCCTTAATGATCAATGTTTGATCCCTTAATGATCAATGCTTGATCCCTTAATTAATCTTGTCCTGCAGTTTTATCGAATTGAAATCAAATTAATCCGTATGCAAAAGATAAAGATCAATGCGTGATCCCAAATTTGAAAACACAACAGTTCTGACTTCAGAAGATTTTATTTAAAACAAACGGTTCGAGATTACAACATTTTATTTTCCTATTTTATCATTATATTTTGTTTCCACAAATTTTCGTAAAAAAGTAACGAAATGAATTGAGTTTTTGCAACAAACTCTGATTTTCTAATCCCTTTATCTGTACAAGTTGATTTAGTAGATCTTTGATATGTCATACTTTATATTCTGGTAGAATCAAGTATTGTAAGTTTGAAATATCAAAGGTTTACACAATCGGATTGTAACGATTTAGGGATTAGAAAATTTATGTATGTGGCAAAAACTCAATTCCTTTATCTAAATAATATTTTGAAAAACTTAAGGATATATATACATACAATAATAAACATCGGTTTAACAAAAACAAAAGCACTATTTAAAATACAGGAAACGAGCGAAGTAAAAAGTAAATATAGTGCCACAGATAAGTCTGTTTGTATTTGTATTAAAGATTTCAGATTTCTATTTTTGAGTTTTTGATCATCAAAACTTTATTGCTAAATTATGAAAAAATATTAATGCATAGTTTTGTTGATATTATTAAAAAAGTAATGGTCATACACAAGTTCAAAAATACATGGTGTGGTTTTAAACGCTGTTGTTATTTTGATAACCATTAATATAGCTTTGTTGATATCAATTCATTCGCGTCTATCGTTCAATAAATTTTTGTTGATAAACACCGTCTTTGTTTCCAATATTGTTCAGTAGCCATTCATACCTTTGTATCTTGTCCTGGGGCTTTTAGTCATTAACAATAAATTCATTGAGAACCGTTGAAAGCTTGGTTTAATTGCTTGATTAGAAGTAAAGCAAACCATATTGCTTTACTACCAACATTTTACTGCAATTTTCAAACTCAAATTAAAGATATTTCGTATCACTTAAAGTAAATAATTTCATTTCTTTAATAAAATTTATAGCGGATATAGGATATAGTAAATTAAATGTTAGAATTAATAACGATCAGATATGAATATGATGAATAAATTCAGCAATGTTTCAATCAAATTTTTCTATTTCAGATTAGAGTCGAGTCCTGAATTCTACGGTTTACCCCCTCTGACCAAGAAACCTGAGATCTCCTGTGTAAAACATGAACCTGGACTACCGGAGGATATCAGGGGGATCCAGAAGGTTCCTAGTCTCAGTGACCTCTCAGAGACAGACAGTGGGATTGACCAGGGAGGTCTTGGCAACTTCCAAACCTCTCCCTTCACTCCAAGTACAAATAAGAACTTTGGAGATGTGTTGAAGACGACCTATGTAACCTGGGATAAGGATAGTGAGAGGTTAGGTATACCTCGAGATCCTAGGCTATGGAGCCAGGATCATGTGTCTCATTGGCTCTCCTGGGCTATCAGAGAATTCTCCTTACAAGGTCCACATATTGATACATTTGTAACAAGTCTAAGTATGAGTGGTAGACAAGTTTGTTCAATGTCTAAAGAAGAATTTATCTCCAGAGCTCCTCCGTTCATGGGAGATATACTCTGGGCACACCTAGAGATACTACAGAAGGATGTGGAAAAGGAAAATGCCAAGGTTGAGAATGCTCCGACAAACTTCTCCGAACCCTACCATGTACCTGATCAGACCCACAGAACCTACACTCAGCTCAATCCTATCTCACCTTTGGGTCAACTTCCAACCTCAAACTCTTACTTAAACTCAAGGATCGATTACTCCCAGCCTAATCCAACAGATACTACTCAGTATGGGAGTTATCCTGCTCCTCAGGTCAAACCTCCTCCTCCTCCAAGGGTACCTGTTTACGGTCAGTATGACGGGTATGGATACCCGCATACATACCAGCCAGAGCATTGGGGTCAACATGATCTCTACCAGACTTCTTTACCTATGCATCATCATCCAGCCTTTCTCCAGAGAGAGGTTTCACCATCTCCAGGCTCAGATAACACTAGATCTCTTCTACCAAACTCCATTCTCACACAGTCCCCAGGAGGTCCTTGTTTTACAGGTTCAGGTCCAATACAGTTATGGCAGTTCCTCTTGGAACTCTTGACAGATAAGACGTGTCAGAGCTTCATAGCTTGGACAGGGGATGGATGGGAGTTTAAGATGATAGATCCTGATGAGGTAGCCAGAAGATGGGGAATCAGAAAGAATAAACCAAAGATGAACTATGAGAAATTATCCCGAGGACTTCGATATTATTATGATAAAAACATTATTCTAAAAACTGCCGGTAAACGGTATGTTTACAGGTTTGTCTGTGATATCCAAGGACTCCTTGGTTACTCTGCTGAGGAAGTTCACGCTATGGTTGATTTTAAACCAGAAAATCACAAGGAGGGTTGTGAGTAGGCGTGAAGAGTTTGAGATTATAACAATCAAAACCAACCAGGGATTCAATATATTTCTAAGATTTGGGACCTGAACCAAATCCAAGCCTTAAAATTTGCATTTATAAAAGATCTTCTGTATTGTACATATGTAAACAATTCAAACACGTTAGTTTACAGGTCAAATAACACGTGTCATGTATTTAATTATTTATAAAAAGATTCTTACTTATTTTCCGTGTATAAAAGCTTGCTCAAGTTATATTTTCTTACTTTTTACTTCATGTTTACGTACCTGTCTTTTGTACTGCCAGCCAGTACGATAGTTACGCCAGCGAATTACTTGTAGTCAAATAAATTAAAAAAAGGTCATCTGTCGAACAAAAATACACATTCGCTTTTTTGTTTTCCCCGCCATAAGTATATTTGCCAGGTGCCAAAACATCCATTTTTTTATTTTTTTTTTTTGACTGGATTGAACCTTTCAATCTTGCAGCTAACCAACCAAATTTGTACATACATACATACATATTTTGTTAATCCTAGCGTTGCCATGAATGGGGTGTACAGTGTACTGTACACTGTACATCCAGCATCTCTAGTTTAGGTACTGTACAATGTACAGTATTATATTTTCTTAACTACTACGTTGAAATACATTTGTTGATGAATAAAGTTTTTGGTTTATATCCAGTAATAGAGAGAAAGTACAAAATTTGTGACAATGTTCATATTTTATAATTCGAAACGTTATTAAAGAATTTCATAATTATAACATTTTTACATTTTTAGAAAATATTTTTGCAGCGTTTTAAAACAAAAGTTTAACTGAAGACGATTTTCCCCTTCTTTATTCTTGTTATATATTTCGTAAAATGAAATATAGAAGGAAATTTAATATTTCTTTTATCTCTTTTGTTGGGATTTCCAGATAACAAAACGGGGAAAGTAATTTTGGAAAAAAAAGGCATTTTAAAATAAAAAAAAACAAATTCGCATGAAATTTATTTGCTAAATATTAATCAGTATAATGTCCTTGATAAACTATATTTTTAATAGGACACCCTGTATAATATCCTATATATGGTCGGTTGGGTAAACAGATGAAGGTGAATGAATGCTGCCCCAACAATGCGCATTAAAGCGGCGCACGATAACTCATGTTCTAAACAAAACCACGTTCAGTCCTCTGAAAGCGTTGAAGTCTCTGATAATTTTAATATCATCCAGGTTTACCAGGTTTATCCAAACTTGGTTTCAGGTCGCTTTGCGCAATTTTTTTTTGTAACATTTTAAAACTTTTAAATATTACGACTGCAAACTTAATTTTCGTTCATAAAAAAGAAACAATGGAGGATTTCTGTTTTTATTCGCGGATTTACAAAAAAAATCTTTTATTTTAGATTTTTTTTGATTCAGACGTACCTAAACCTTTCCTTGGGTATCACAAATAGTATAAAAATGTGATAAGATAACCTTAAAAAAATTTCGGCATTTCCTTCGGAAGATTAAAAAAAACTAAGATGGTCTATAATTTTTATTTTACCTTATTTCTCTGAGTTGTTTTTTTTATTGGCATATCTTCAATATTTTTGCCTCAATACTATTACTGCGAATTATTATTTTATATTTCATGTCGTGCAGAAAGAACAATTTTAAGAGGATACATTGCTCCTAAATATGTTTGTTTTCCCGGTTGAGGGGGCTTTTTAATCCCCCCCCCCTCATCTTTTAGTGTGTGGATTGTGTACAGAATTTAACTCTTATATTCTGGAGAGCAAATAACTTACTTATACATTTAAAAGTCATTTTTTTTACAAAAGTTTGATGTTTTAAAAATTTTATAAAAATGTTAGGAAGTCATTTTGTCAGACTAAATTTTGTTAAAATAAGTATTATTATTATTTAAGTAATAAGTGACCCACAATCGAAAATGATATCTTGATTTACAAAATGAATTATTGAATTTTACATATATCATAAACTTGTTCTAAACTTTGGTTGGGAGACGGAAATGCTTTAGCTTGGTAAAAAGCTTAAATTGAAAACGTTGGTTTTTATAGGAAAACCTTTGTTTTCTAGGCAAAGCTGGATTTTTAAGCTAGTTATATTTAAAGTACTAAGTTCACCAATCAAATTTGGATATGTGAAAATGATTAGGACAAAGGTAATTACTTAAAAATTCTAAGATGAGTTGACCTACTTATGTAGAAATGTGTATTCATTGATTTAATTTGAAACATCTATCATTAAACAATACCAAATTATGCATTTAGTAGAAAAGTACTGTTTAAACTTTATTTGTAATTTTAATGTTATTTTTAATTTACTGAATGATAACCTAATTTGTAACCCTTCTGAATTTATCAATCAAATAAAATCATGTTCAGTATTTATTCAAGATTTGTGCACATATGAGTATAGGGTAAATATAGTAAAGGTTACGAAGTGGAAAAGCATTTCATTGTCCATTTTCAGATTCAAGTAGTCTTACAGTTTGCCAGTTCAAATCCCTTCTCATGCTCTTTACATCTAAAATATGAAATAGATATATTAGTTATGGAGAAAGTAATATTTGCAATTTTGCAATTCATAAGGATGCATTAAACTAAGATGTACTTACAGGTGCAACAGAAGAGCTGCGAGCACGGGTTTTGAGCTTGGCAAGAGCCTGCTCAGTGACATCAGCAGCCTCAGTGGAAGCAGAGAGAGAGCTTTGGGTTTGTCTGAACTTGGCAAGATTCAAAGCTGCAATCTCCTCTGCCTCTTCAATCTGTTTCTTGTATGACCTAATCTTGCCCTGGAGCTGATCAATTAGACCCTGCATGCGCTCATGGTTCTTCCTATCTTCATCCTGCTGATAAGTGAGCTCCTTGATCTTACGCTCAGATTTCCTCAGTGCCTTCTGAGCATCAGCGCAACGCCTATTCTCAGCATCCAATTCAGATTCCAGTTCCCTAATTCTGGTATCCATCTTGCTCATGGCCTTCTTTCCTCCCTTGAGAGCATTTTGCTCAGCATCATCAAGTCTAGCTTGCATATCCTTGACCTGGGCTTCAAGAAGCTTGCGGTCACGCTCAAGACATTGGGCCATTTCTTGTTCTGCACGGAGTTCATCAGCAAGACGAGCAGCATCAATCATTGCCTTTTGTGCCTTTTCTTCAGAAAGGCTGGCCTCAGAAGCCATCTCATCAAGGTCAGCCTAAATAGGGAAAAAGTATATAAATTAAATTAATAAAAATAAGAATAATTTTTCAATTAAATTGTATACTTACTGCAAGGGTATGAATTTCAGAGTCAAGCTTCATCTTGCCTCCCTGGATGGCCTGGTTGGTGCATGTCTGATCTCCGAGAGTTTCATTGGTATCAGCAAGCTCCTGTTCAACCATTCTTCTAGCTCTATCAGCCTGCTCCAGAAGGGTGCGAGCCTCTTCAAGAGCATTCTGGTTGGCATGAGCACGTCGATCAGCAACAATAAGGTTGTCATGAGCAACTTCCTTGGCGCGGTGAGCATCCTCAAGCCTTGCCTGAGTTTCCCTCAGGCTCAGCTGGTACTTCTTAATGATTTTCTGAGTTTCAGCATTTGCAGCATTGGCGTGCTCCAAAGCAGTATCAAGATCCATGACATCGGTTTCAAGCTTCTTCTTCATGCGAAGAGCTTCAGCTTTGCCCTTGGACTCCATTTCAATTGCAACTTGCATGTTTTCAAGGGCCTTATTCATGTTTTTCCTGGTAGACTCAAACTCCTCATCCTTCTCAGCCATTCTACGCTCAATTTCTTGTCTGACTTGGGTAAGTTCAAGTTGAGCTCTAAGGACCTTGTTTTCTTCCTGTTCAAGTGCTCCTTCAGCCTCAGAAAGTGCAGCTTCAAGTTCCATTTTCTCAGCTTCCAGACGCTTGCGAATTTTGTCAATCTCATGAATGGATCGTCCTCCTTCGCTGATTTGATCCATGATGTCCTTGATTTCATTAGAAAGACTTTTGTTCTCCCTGCGCACTTCTTCCAATTGTAGAACTGCCTCTTCATAAGCTGATTTAATTCTGAAAAGTTCAGAGGAAGCATTGCGGGTTTCCTTCTGACTACCATCTAGATCCATGCTGAGGCTGTCAACCTTCAACTTCCATTCTGCAACAATACGGTCAAATTGTTTAGCCTTCTTTTCCATTGAAGAGTTCAGGATCTGAGCTTGGTCTAGCTGAACAGACATGCTATCAAGATCACCCTGGAGTTTGGCCTTTGCTTTTTCAATTTGGTTAAGCTTGGAGCTCAGTTGATTGATGGTAGACTCAGATTCAGAAAGGCGAGCTTGCATCTTGAGTTTGGACATTTCAAGTTCTTCAGCCTTTGCTACCCCATCCTTCTCATACCTAGTTCTCCACATATCAGATTCTCCTTGGGCTTTATTCAATTGTCTCATCAAGTTTTCCTTTGCAGAGCACTCCTCATCAAAATGTTCCTTCATTCCATCAACCTCATGTTCAGCATTTCTGAACTTTCCAAGGAGAGACTGACGCTCCTTGGCTTCATCATCAGCAATTCTACGCTGCTCATCCAATTGGGCAGCAAGGCTAGATTTTACCTTTACCAGCATGTTAGCAGAGTTTTCAAGCTCTTGAAGTTGGCGGAGAAGGTCAGCATTCTCAGCAGCAATCTTCCTCTTGTTAGACTCAAAATCTCCAAGAGTAAGATTAGCTTCTTCAACCTTTTTGCCAAGCTCATTGAGTTGAGCAAGGAGATTTCTATGTGACTTTTCTGCAGATGCACCTGATCTATTGACTTCATCAGTGGCAGAGCGGACATCTGCAATTTCATGCATAATGTGTTGCTTGTCTTTCTCAATCTTTCCTTTCATTTTGTTCAACTGGTCAATCTGTTCAGTCATCTCAGCAATGGCATCCTGGTGTTTCTTCTTCAGGGAGATCAGAGTAGATTCTTGCTGAATATGAGCTTCCTCAAGATCTCTTCTCAGTTTAGTAACTTCAGATTCACGCTTCTTGTTAAGCTCAATCTGGGCATTTGTGGCACCTCCAGCCTCTGCCAATCTTTCTCCCAAGTTCTCAAGCTCTCTAGCCAAGTCAGATCTCTGGCGTTCAGCTTTAGCTCTGGCTTGACGCTCAGCCTCCAACTCCTCTTCCATCTCCTCAACTCTAGCCTGTTGTTCCTTAATGGATTTCTGTACTTTGGCAACAAGACCTTGCTCATCCTCAAGCTTGGAAAATAGACTAACACCATCCTTTTCCTTGCGAGCAATGGCACTTTCAAGCTCTTTTCTTGCTCTCTCAAGCTCTGCAACAGTTTCCTGAGTTACCTTAAGATCTCCCTCAATCTTTCTCCTCTCTTTTTCAACATTAGCTCTTCCTCTCTTTTCCTTCTCAAGAGATGACTCAAGCTCATCAAGAGTACTTTCAAGCTTGTTCTTGATCTGGGTAAGGTGGCTGACCTTATCTTCGGCTACTTGGAGATCTTCACTAGCCTTTGCAGCATTTTCATTAAGGTGCTTTTTCTCCTTGTTAAGCTTATTGATAACTTCATCTTGGTTGGCAACTTCATCATTGAGGCTTCTAATGGTATGGTCTCTGTTGGTCTTCTCTTGTTCCAACTTCTGGATAGCCATGTCAATATCTTCAATGTCCTTCTTTACAGAAACTACTTCTTGTTCTAGCACTTTTTTGTCAGCAGTTGCTTGCTGGCGTTCTTGCTCCTTCTGGATTAGGAGTTCCTGGGAGCTAGCAAGTTGAACCTCAAGATCAGCCTTCTGAGCAGACATCTTGGCTTGTTTCTCATGGTATTCAGACATATTTCCTTGTTCTTTTTCAATCTGTTTGATCAAGGCCTTAGTTTCTTCCTTGATCAACTCATTTTCCTCAAGTAGCTGTGCTTTTGTCTTGATCTGTTTTTCATAAGCACCATACTTTTCATTGGCCTGTTCCTCTAGAAGACGGAGTTCCTCTTCAGGGTTGGGCATGCCAATCATAGGACGAGTTTTCTGGATAATAACAAACCATCCCCATTCTCTCATGCTGACATACTTCCTAAAGTTTCTCTGACAAACCTTGATAAGTTCCCTTTGATCACGTCTCTTTTCATAGATAGACCTTTTGATTCTCTGGAGACATTGTCCTTGGAGATAGCGTACTAGCCTGATCACAATATCATCTCTCTTTTCCTCTAGGAAGGCTAGAGCACCAGCACGGAAGAATACAAGAGTGTGACCAAGACGGTACCTTTCACGTCCAAATTCAATTTTGTCCATCAAAGCATAAACAGCAGTTTTGTTATCTGAAGAGCTTGCAATTTCTGCTGCTCCAAGGATAGCATATCTGCTCTTGAAGTCAGGGTACACCATTCTGTTAGGGAATCCTCTCATACAGATTCTAATACCCTCAAGCACACCATTACATGTAAGCTGGTGCATGATAAGAGGTGGTTCAACATCTCCTGGTTTCTTGTGAGTGTTTGGCACAAGGCAACGTACAAAGTGAGGTTCACAGCTGTGAAGAGTGGTCATAAGTTCACCAAGAGAAACCAGGTAGACAGATGACACAGTCTTTCCACCTCCTCCCTTCTTCTTCTTCTTACCATCATCCTTTGGAGCAACAGAGGGCTGTCCTGGGTGGTCTTCCCAAAGCTTTACAAGGAGAGTAATAGTAGAAGTAGATTTGAAGATCTCTACAACAGTGTCATTTACAGGATCCTTGTTCTTCTCTAGCCAATTAGTAACATTGTAAGATACAATACCAGCATAATGGTTAAGGGCAAAGTGGGCATTCTTGTCAGTTTTGGACTGAGGCTTCAAAAAGACTGGTAGTTTACCAAGGGAAGCCTTCAGCTTTTCCTCAAAGGATTTGTCAGTGGCCTTGGGAAAAAGAGATTCTTCTTCCAGGATGGCCCAGATACCCATAGGTTTTTCAAACATAATGATACAGGCAGCCAAGTCCATACCAAAGTCAACCATTACCCAGTCAATACCTTCTTTGACATACTCCTCCTGTTCAACAACAAACATGTGGTGGTTGAAGAACTGCTGAAGCTTTTCGTTGACAAAATTAATAGAGATCTGTTCAAATCCATTGTATTCAAAGATCTCAAAACCTGCAATATCAAGAACAGCGCAAAAGTTGTTCTTCTTAAGAGTGGGGTCAATAAGTGTAGCATTACACTTCTCAATTAGCCACTTGAAGACTCTGTCAAAGATACCTCTGGCAATACCACCTACAGCATTAGTAGCCTGAACACAGGTTTGGCCCTTGGTCACCCACTCAGTACCGACCTTAATCCTGGGTTTACAGAAAGCTTTTATCATAGCACTAGCATCAACTCCACACAGGGCTGCAACCTTTCCAGCAAAGGTGTCAGGTCCAATAAGCTCACACTCAGCTTGGTCATCACGTCCTTTGGTTTTAAACTCAATTCCTCCAAAGGTCATGACTGCAGCAGTCAACATGTAACAGTCAAACTTCTCTTGTTCTTCAAAACCAAGAACATTAAAGGCATCCTCAGTGTATTCAAGCTCTTCATTGTCATCAATGGAATCTACTTTAGTTTTACCCTGTGAAACATAAGTGTAGTCATATATGTCAGAGCTCAAATGGCATTTGGTTCTCAGGCCTCCTCCAATGCCATCTCCAAAAGGCTGGAGAAGCTGGTAAAAAATATGGTAGGACCTCTCAACTTCCTGCTGTTCAGTGATACGGGACTTTTCCAAAAGGTAGGACACAATGTCACAACCAGCAAGTTTTCCAGAGGCGGTAAAATGGATACGGATAAACTTACCGAAACGGGAGGAGTTGTCATTCCTGGATGTTTTGGCATTACCATAAGACTCCAAAATTGGGTTGGTAGCAACAATCTGGTCCTCAAGAGAAACCTTCTTGTCAGACTTCTTGCTGCTGGTGGCAACCATAGCAAGATAGGTGATGACCTTCTTAGTGTTTTCAGTCTTTCCAGCTCCAGACTCACCAGTAATTAGCATAGCCTGATTCTTGCTGTTGTTCAACATACCTCGATAGGCAGTCTCCGCAATGGCCCAAAGATGAGGAGGGCACTCATTACGCCTCTTACCAAGATAAATCTTGGCAACTCTGTGAGTATACAGAGGGTAACGCTTGTAAGGGTTGACAACAACAACAAAGAGACCAGAATAGGTATGGATCATCTTGGCCTGGTAACGGGTTTTCAAGTTCCAGAATACAGAAGCATCATTAAGGAATGTAAGATTGACCATGTCTTCGCATTTCTCAAACTTGGGAGGATTGACCTTTCCAACCTCAGAACCTTTGTGAGTGAACTTTTCATGACCAACAGAAACCACACACTTGCTGGCAGGGTCTTCAAGGTCTCCGGACTCCAAGGCACCCTCGCGGTATCCTCCACTTTTGGGGTCTGGGATCCATACAGACTTCTTGGAATCATAAGGCTTCTGCTGATCAGCCCTCTTCATATCCATAGAAGGGAGCAGAAACTCAGTTGGGTCAGGGTCGGCTTGACCCGTCTTGGTGAGCTTGATATGACCAGGCATGATGGATCTAAACAAAAAAAAGGTTGTTTTAAATATGATTTAATTTTTAAACTAAAAAAATGTACATTGTACTTAATGAAGACTGGACACTGTACATAAATACAAGCACTTTCATGCATTTTTATTTTGATACTTTTTTGTTGTGTTTTTTTTTTTTTATTGAGAAAAGTTAAAAGGAAAACATAATTGCAAGTTTTAGAAAGAAATGGAATAGAAAATAAATATTTTTATATTCCATTTAGGATTGTTTGCTTATTTTAAAATACACATATGCTTTGGTATTACCCCCTGAGAGGAAGAATGATCAAAACTTTCTGTAAAAAATAAAAATTGTGTGTTTTTATTTTTTGTATTTTAGAAATTAAAAAAAACATATCAGCAGTATTCAGCAAAACGATATGGATATTTTAGCAGACATTATTCTGTATTGTGGCCAATCCAAAAATCATTGAGCAGTGAGATATTCTTGTTGATTCTTTTACTTAAAAAAATTGGAGTATTTTAGAAAATTTTGAAAAGGTGACCAATCCCATATATCCAAAGAAAAATCCAGATATCAAATCAATAAGATCATTGCAACAGTAAAATCAGAAAAAGCACTATTTTAGTAATTCGTTGGCAAATAAAATATATCTTTAAAAGAAAAAAAGGATTTTGCAAATGTTAAGCTAAAACTAAATACTTCAATGTCAAAAAACCTCTACAGTAAGTTGAACTTCGTAAAAGTAACCCCCTGTATGCAATTAGATTAACCCCCTGTATGCAATTAGATTAACCCCCTGTATGTAATTAAATTGACCCCCTGTATGTAATTAAGTTGACCCTCTTGTATACAGTAAATACCTTAAAACTGTGAAATAGGATCACAACAATTTAATCAAATTTGTGTATTTGATGATGCAACAAAGAAAAAAGTTTTACAAGTATATTAAAAATCAATTTATCAAGTGAAATGGGTCTGTGTACACTGCTCAATTGCAGTGTTTAATTTTCATTGGAGTAATTGAAATCATAAAATAAGTCAAACAGTCGTCTTCCTATTGCATAGAATTTTGGGCCTCGCTGATATGTGCAACTAAATTGACCTACCCACTCTGTGAAGCAAACTGGACTGAAGATACGGTTACCAGGACCTAGCTTATATACCAGGTATTGACCTGACCGGCCTCGTCCCTCGCTGGAACCTTTGAATTCTCGGCACACACACACAATTCATATTATTAGGGTTCGAACAATTTCAAATTTGTTTCGAACACTTCGAAATAACTTTAAGTTTTTACAAGAAACTGACAAAACTGTAACCTCTACTGAAAAATAGTTTTTAACAATTTAACAAAAAATGAAGAAAACCCTACAAACAGACAAACCTGCTGACCGTACACAGACACCCACCTACAATACTCCCATATCTAGTGCATTCCTTTATGGATACCTTTGTTGGGGAACTTTCCTTGAGGACTTGGGGAAATAAAGCAGTAAAAAATTCCCTACTGTTCCAAAATTGAAAATATAATGATTTAATACTCTTTAGATTTCTCCGATAGATTTGATGTAATTCTATACTGTTCTATTTTGCGATCAAATCCCCAGAAATTGCAAGTTTTTATTTTGAATTAACAAGAACTTTAGGAATTTACACGGAATTCGATAATTCTTGAATTAAATTGTTTCGGAGNAAGATGTTTATAAGAAAACGTAGATTTCAGAATGCTCTGTTAGAATTTCCTTATTATTTAAAATTTCACTCTATTACGTCAAAGCAGGAACATTGGGAGGAAGGATGAGAAGGAAAGGAGGGAGGTGTCGGGTAAAGTTTAAGGGAGGGAAGGATGAGAAGGAAAGAGGGGGGAGGTGTCGGGTAAAGTTTAAGGGAGGGAAGGATGAGAAGGGGAGGAGGGAGGTGTAGGGTAAAGTTTAAGGGAGGGAAGGAGAAGAGAGAAGGATGATAGCGGAGGAAAGAGGAAAAAGAAGAAAAAAGGTAGTTATGAAGTTGTAATCTTTATTGATATGTTTGTGTGTCCGATCATAACTCATGAACCCCTGGACTGGGAATAATGTTAGAAGTCGATCAAGTGCGGATAAACGGTCAGATAAACTTTTAGTAACCTTGGCAGCGCTGGGTTCCCTAGCTGGTTCACAATAAAAACATATTATTTGTAAATATGAAATATGTATAATGAGAATATATTATTTATATTATACCTTTTAAGGAATGAAATCTTGATGTAATTTCAGGTTATCTTTCATTTTAAAAGGGGGCATGCTCTATTCACAAAGGTATCCTTTTCTGATTGATAATATGGAAATATCGTCGTTTTTCATCTTTAAAAGTGTTTAATTCTTACAATTTCCCACATTGTATCTTGAGCAGAAATTGTCGCAATTAACTTTATAGAAAACTCCATTCAGAAGAAATCAATTATAATCGGAAATATCATAATATGATGGATTTATCATACATTCTTCATCCGACAAAGCTTTAAGCTGGGCACCGTTGTGAATCGAACATGACGTGTCATTTGAATTCACGTGTGTAGTCCCTTTAATAAGCAAATTTCAAATAAAAAATGGCGTCATATGTAAATAAAAACTAGAATGATAAAGAAGGGCCCGAAGCAGCCCGAATTTCACAACGATATTAAAGAACTGCAGAGGAATGGATTTGAACAGATCTGAAGTAATGATAAGACATTTAACAGCTGACATGAAAGCATTTTGGAATTTCACAATATTCTTATTTCTAAAAAAAATTTCTAGACTAAATCATAAAAAAATCATAAATCGTTTTTCCAGCTTAAAATTGTCAATATTTCACAATTTACTCCATAATATCTGTTGCATGAAATCCACAAGTTATTCGATAAAGAAGCCACAATTAAAAATAACAAATTCTTAAAGAGGAACCATCGATATCTCTTTCATTCTTGATATAAAACATCTTTTATAGAGTATTGTTGTTAATCGGACAGACAAGTCTTTCAATGGAGGGTAACTTAAAACTATGTCTTATATATAACACTTTTTGAGAATCAAGACACCTTGACAAAATATAAGTGTAGACGTTTAGACAAAGTAAGTCTTTGATGTTGTGCTTTAACATTTGTCAACACTCTTCACACTTTTTAAACTAGATTAGACAATGATTTGATTTGAAAAAGGAAATTGTGGTACATTTCTGTTTCTTTTTTAGATTTTTTAAAGGAATTGAGTCTTTACCACGAACTCAAAGTTTCTACTCATATATCTATGCAACATGATAGTGTACATTTTTGATATTTCTAACTTAGATTCAGTGATCTAACAGAATGCATAGTTTGAAAGATCTAAGGTCTACGACATTGGATTGCAAATATATAAGGATTAGAAAATCTGATTTAGTAGCAAACTAATTGTTTGCATCTAAATTCATAATCACTAAAGAACTGTTTGTTATTTATTTAGTATTTTTATAGGAAAATTGAATAAAATCATTTTCCAGATAATTTTGTAAGTGTATACACTTAAATAGAAGTACATCAGAAGAACAATAAAGTACACAAGCAAAAAGGCAATAAAAGATAAAAGTAAAAATAAATTAAGAACACAAGAAAAAGTGTATAAGAACAAAAGTACACAAGAATTAAAGTACACAAGAATAAAAGTACACAAGAACAAAAGTACCAAGATTAAAAGTACACAAGAATAAAAGTACACAAGAATAAAAGTCAAATAGAATAGAAGTGCAATAGAATAAAAGTACAATAGAATAAAAGTACAATAGAATAAAAGTATAATAGAATAAAAGTACAATAGAATAAAAGTACAATAGAATAAAAAGTACAAAAGTATAAAAGTACATAGTGACTGTCCGTGGCCACGTCCACTTAAGTTTTAAACTTTTTGCAAAGACAAAAGTCCATATTAAAGCCAAATGCATAATTCAAGATTTGTAGACATCATGAATAAAGCAAAATGATATATATTTGTTGTTGGAAACACTTCTAGTTGTAACTATTTGCAGTTTGGAAACCCTCCTATCAGTTTGGAAACCCTCCTATCTGTTTGGAAACCCTGTTAGCTATTTGGAAACCCTGTTAGGTTTGTGGAAACCCTCCTAGCTATTTGAAAACTCAGGTAGGTGTGTTGAAACCTTGAAAGCTTTTTGGAAACCCTGCTAGCTATTTGGAACCCCTGCTTGCTATTTGGAAACCTTTCTAGCTGTTTGGAAACCCTGCTTGCCATTTGGAAATCTTGCTAGGAAAGTGGAAACCCTGCTAGCTATTTGGAAACTCTGCTAGCTATTTTGAAACTCTGCTAGCTATTTGGAAACCCTGCTAGCTATTTTGAAACCCTGTTAGGTGTTTACAATACCTGCTAGTTATTTGGAAGCCCTGATAGCTATTTTGAAACCCTGCTAGCTGTTTGGAAATCCTGCCAGCTGTTTGGAAACCCTGCTAGCTGTTTGGAAACACTGCTAGCTATTTTGAAACCCTGCTAGTTATTTGGAAACCTTACAAGCTGTTTGAATACCCTACTAGCCATTTGGTAGCTGTTTGGAAACCTTACAAGCTGTTTGAATACCATACTAACCATTTGGTAGCTGTTTGGAAACCCTAATTGTGCTTGGAAACCCTGCTAGCTATTTAGAAACCTTACTAGCTGTTTTAAAAACCTTCTAGCTGTTCGGAAACTATACTGGTTGTAAGAAAACTTAACTTTTTTGTTTGGAAACCCTACTAGTTTTTTGGAAACCCTGCTAGTTGTTTGGAAACCCTACTAACTGTTTGGAAACCCTGCTAGTTGTTTGGAAACCCTACTAACTGTTTGGAAACCCTACTGTCTGTTTGGAAACCCTACTAGCGTGTTATGTCTCGTAAATCCAAAAAATTAGAATATAAAAGTTATAAAAGCTGTTAAGAAATGTTTACACACTTGTACAAGGGGGAAAGTTTAATCCCCCCACCTTTTACTCTTCTCTTTCCCCTTCTGTTCCCTCTCCTTTATTCCCCTACCACATTCATTCTTTACCACCTTCTTTAAACTCCTGAATATGTTTTCTATTTTCTATTCCTGATTCATCAACACCTACCTTTCTAAAACAGATTCTGTATGTAATCCACTAAACTTATTTCCTCGACGTTAACAAATCTGCTTTAGTAATTTTATGTTTACTTCGTTCTGCAATCTCTGTTTTTCTTTATAATCAAAAATACTATCTGAGTTCTGTTCTTTCGAAATGTTTTGAATTTTGAAGAATCTATATCAGAATCTGTATTTTAAAAAAAATCTCGATTCTAATGAATCTGTATTCTAAAGAATCTGTATTCTAAAGAACTGTATTCTAAAGAATCTATATTTTAAAGAATATGTATTCTAAAGAATCTGTATTCTTAAGAATCTGTATTCTAAAGAATCTGTATTCTGACGAATCTGTATTCTAAAGAATGTATATTCCAAAGAATCTATATTATAAAGAATTTGTATCTAAAGAATTTGAATTCTAAAGAATCTGTATTCTATAGAATCTGTATTCCAAAGAATCTGTATTCTAAAGAATCTGTATTCTATAAAATCTGAATTCTAAAGATTCTGTATTCTAAAGAATATGTATTCTTAAGAATCTGTATTCTAAAGAATCTGTATTCTAAAGAATCTGTATTCTTAAGAATCTGTTTTCTAATGAATCGGTATTCTAGAGAATCTGTATCCTAAAAAACTATATTGTAAAGAATCTGTATTTTAAAGAATCTGTATTCTAAAGAATCTGTATTCCAAAGAATCTATATTCTAAAGAATTTTTATTCTAAAGAATTTTTATTCTGAAGAATCTGTATTCTATAGAATCTGTATTCCAAAGAATCTGTATTCTAAAGAATCAGTATTCTAAAGAATCAGTATTCTAAAGAATCTGTATTCTAAAGAATCTGTATTATAAAGAATCTCCTTCTCCTGCCCACTCCTTTTCCCATTCTCCCTTTCCCTAGTCGACCTACTGGCTATATACTTCCCACAAGAATGCTATTTTCTTTAAGTTAAATTATATACATTTCCTTTTACATATAATAGTTTTCAATCAGTTTGTTATGTACTAGTAAAATTGATATACATAAGTAAATTAGTTTTCTCTAAGAAAGCACCTTGATTAGCCCACTATGCTCCTATATGAG